TGAAGAAGGTCATTGGTAGCTTGATGGGGATAGCATTGAATCTGTAAATTACTTTGAGCAGTATGGCCATTTTCACAATATTGATTCTTCCTAACCATGAGCATGGAATGTTTCTCCATCTATTTGTGCCCTCTCTTATTTCATTGAGCAGTGGTTTGTAGTTCTCCTTGAAGAGGTCCAGAATTCCCTTCTTTTTTAAGGCTGAACAGTATTCCATTGTGTATACATATCACATGCTCTTTATTTATTCATCTGCTGTGGACACTTAGGTTGATTCCATAACTTGGCTATTGTGATTAATGCTGCAATGACCATGGGAGTGCAGACACTTCTTTGACAAGCTGACTTCAGATCTTTTGGGTAAATGTCCAGAACTGGGATTACTGGATCACATAGTAATTCTATTTTTAGTTTTTTTTTTTTTAGGAAACTTTAACAGTTTTTCAAAATTACTCTACTAAAACTCTTGTTGCTTTTTTTCACTCCCTTAATCTTTTTTTCTCAGTAATTAATCATGCTCAGGTCAAAGTTATAAATATACAGTCAAGTAGAGATGAGACAGGTGAGAATATTATTGCTCAAATATTTAAATCATTGGATTAAATGATCCAGATAATTTCCAAATACTTTTCTAATTCTCTCTCTCTCTCTCTCTCTCTCTCTCTATACATATATATATATATATATATATACACACACACACACATATATATGTAGCCTCAGACAAGCAGCTACATGAAAAAATGGTTGACCTGATTATAGGGGTGCAGGGACAGCAGAGAGAAAGTTGATTCAAACTCAAATAAAATTTATTTCACAGACATAGTCTTCCAGAAAAATTTCACAAACTGAAAACCTTGCAGTTATGAAACCTGTTACCCAGTTAATACTGACCAACAACCTAGGAAATATGGATTGAGGGCTTTAATTTAATAAGGAGAAAATGTAAGTTCTCATTAGGTTAATACATCACCCATTTTGGTAAATGTTCTGTTAGTTTTCCCCAGACTAAGTTTTAATTAGAATCAGAAGAATATATTTATTTTTATACAAAAGTGACATATACATGTATATTCACATATTTTATATATATATATATATATATAC